TAGTGCTCTCCACTGAACAGCCCAGCCCACTCACTGATTCTATTGGTTTCCTAGACACTTTTTCTTCAAAGACAGAGGGTATTAATATTAACTATATCTCTGGATAGCCTGGAGTCTACTCTGCAGACCAGGCTGCCTAAAACTCAAAGAGATCCACCTGCTTCCCAAATGCCGGGATTAAAGGCGTGCCCCACCACGCCTGGCTTGCACCCAACTCTTAAAGTGGATTCTAAGGATCTAAACTCAAATGCTCATGCTTGCAAGATAAGAAGTTTACCAATGAGGTCATCTCTCTAGCCCCCCATTTTTTTTTAAATTTACATTTATTTATGTTGTGGGGCAGGGGCACATGTGTGTCTTGACCTGTATAATTCAGAAGAGGGCACTTAGGAGAATCTGTTCTCTCCCTCCACCACATAGGTCCTGGGGATAAAACTCAAGTATCAGACTCAGTGGCAAGCACTTTTACCTGCTACACTGTCTTGTCAAAACCCCCTCAAAAAAAAGAAACAAAAAACAAAACTGACATCCCACCTCCCAAGCACCCTTCAGAAAGCTGTCTCTCCCAGCCCTTCCTGGGAAGGGTGGTTGGCATCTCTGTATCCTTACTCCTCTGCTTTCCTGGGTTGTGCCTTCAGCCTCTCTAACCTTTGACCCGATGTGAACCCACGTCAATCCTAGGCCAGAGACGGAATAGCTAAAGAAGAGACAGAAGAACCCTAGAGAGGTGCTGGAGAGATGCTCAACAGTTAAAATCATGTGTTGCTTGCTCGTGGGACTGGGGTTGGTTCCTAGCACACACATAGTGACTAACAATTTCTTTGCCTCCAAATCCAGGGCATCAACCAGATGCCCTCTTCTGCCCTCTGTGGGCATTGCACACATGTGGTACACAAAACATACCCACAGGCAAAATACCCATGTACACAAACAAAAAAATAGATCTAAAAAATTTCTTAGAGAAACAGACATGGTGACTCACTCCTATAATCCTAGCACTTGTAGGCTGAGATAGAAGGATTTCATGAACTCATGACCAGGCTACACTAAGACTCCTCTCTCCCCTTTTTCCCCCTCTCTCTCGGGCCTATGCTGTATTTTCAGCACCACGAAAACCAGGCCTGGTGAAATACACCTGGAATCCTAGCACTCAGGAGGTGAAGGCACAGAGCTCAAGCCAAATGAGACTGTTAGAATTCAAGGCAAATGAGACTGTCTTATAAAAATAAATAACATAAGAAAGAGTATAGTATAGTGGTACACTCCACAATCTCAGTGCTTGTGGGCAGAAACAGGAGGACCATCAATTTATCATCCTTTGCTACACAGTAAGTTCAAGGCCTCAGATATGAGTCTACCACCACTCCCCAAACAAAACATCCCTGTAACAGAGGCAGGAGAGATACTACGTGGGGTGGGAAAACTTCCAGAACCCTTACTGTGCAGCCCATAGCATATTCTGCTTGTCCTTCCCCAAGGTCTTACCTCCACAGAGATGCCATGGGCACTGGGACCCATTGTGACTGTGCCCTCCTTCACCAGGAAGTCACAGTACTGGTAGCAAGTACCCCGGGTCTCAATCTTGCTGGCTTTGGCACTCTGGAAAAAGCCCTTGAGCTTCACCATGAGCACATCGAAGTTGGTGTCAGCAATAAGGCAAGGCCCATTCTCAAAAAGGGCAAAACAGCTCAGGGGGTACTCGGAGTTATGCATCACGTACATCAGCTTCCCAGCCTGGCCTGCAAGGGACAGACGGCCCACTCGTGATCAGGACTGTGTCAACATACCGCAGGATAGCTCAAGTGCAGCAAACAAGACCAATTGGCAGTTGGTACTCTGGCAGTCTGAGAAGTGAAAGGATCCTTAAATGCAACCCTTTTCCAGAGAAGCCAGGCATCTGGAAAAGCCAGCCCCACAACAAGGGCTATACACACCTGAAGAGCACCAGGGGATTCTCAGGGTGTTGAGAGCAGTTGTGTGGTGAGTTCACAGGTGGCTACTTTATCATGATGATTAGTAATCCATACAGAGACTCTCTTCTACCTTATCATCTGTAATAAATAAAACTAAGGGATGGTGGTGTTGCTTGGCAGCAGGCACTGGCCTAGCCCTTAGTTCCAGCCCCAAAACCTCAAACATAAAAGTAAAACTAAAACAGAAGTAACAACATCTGGTATATAACTCTGGACCTCAGCTAATGCCTCCTTTGAAATCAAAATGCTCTTACAGAGGCTTTGGAATAGGGAGCACAGACGGCCACAACCAAGCTGAGTTAAGTGTTTTTTGCCATGCCTTAAAAATCTGGCAGTTGCCAGGCGTTGGTGGCACACACCTTTAATCCCAGCACTCGGGAGGCAGAGGCAGATGGATCTCTGT